GACTCGAGCTGCTGCATTTTGAATGTACTGCAGCTGTTTTACAGCCTATTTGGACAGACCAGTGAGCAGGCAATTGCAGTAGTCTAACCTACTGGAGACAAATGATGAGACAAAGTCTGCTTTAGACACTATGTTTTTGATCCTTGCAATGTATTTTAGGCGTTAAAAAGCTGCTGATGTTACTGATTTGATGTGGCTATTAAAATTCAAGTCTGAGTCCAGTATTACCTCTAGATTAGCCTGTACAGTTTATAAGTTGAATATGCAACAGAACTGAACAGACCACAGTCTCCACATATATCAGGCTCTGAGCCACGTGCTTCGGTTTCTTCGAAGCACTGAGCAATATGCTCCAAAGTGAGCAGTATGCTCCGAAGTCCCTTTAGATCTGTATGCGCCTGCGCGGAGGGGGCTGCACGTCTGTTTGCTCGACCGTGTGTTTTTTAGGAGGTTAGGAGGTACAAGAAGGGGCAGAGTAGGATGTACTTTTTGAGGCGATTGGCATCTTTCAGGGTCTGTGATAAGCTTCTCTACATGTTTTATCAGTCTATTGTGTCTAGTGTCCTTTTCTATGCAGTTGTCTGTTGGGGGGGCAGTGCACGAAAGAGGGACACTGAGAGGCTGAACCGGCTCATTAGAAAGGCGGGCTCTGTGGTGGGTCTGGGCCTGGATTCAGTGGAGGAGGTGGTAGAGCAAAGAACGCTCTCCAAGATCAGGGTGATCTTGTCCAACCAGAGCCACCCGCTGAATTCATTTTTTTCCCGCCAGAGAAGCACCATGAGCTCCAGACTCCTCTCTCTGAGGTGCTCCAGGGACAGACTAAAAAACTCTTTTGTCCCCAACGCCATCAGGCTCTAGAACAAAGCCACTTCAGGGAGGAGCAGGGGGGGAATTGTTTTGCAGTGCCTTAACTTCTCTTTTAATGTTTTTAATGTATTTATTGTCTCGTTTTTAACTTTTGCATCTTATAATTCTTACCTATGTATGTATCGTTGTATGATTGCGAGCAAGGGACGAGTGCACAATTTCCTTCGGGATCAATAAAGTATATATCTATCTATCCATCATCCATGCTCCCTGCAGCCGCTCCATGCTTCCGTCCAAAAGACACACGGACCAATCACAGTGGAGCTTCCTTGCAGCGCCGGGTGCGTAGTTACACATTTTTGAGGGTGCGCAGCAGGCTACAGTGCCTTGCGAAAGTATTCGGCCCCCTTGAACCTTTCAACATTTCGCCACATTTCAGGCTTAAAACATAAAGATATAAAAATTTTAATTTTTGTCAAGAATCAACAAGTGGGACACAATCGTGAAGTGGAACGAAATGTATTGGATAATTTAAACTTTTTTAACAAATAAAAAACTGAAAAGTGGGGCGTGCAATATTATTCGGCCCCCTTGCGCTAATACTTTGTAGCGCCACCTTTTGCTGCAATTACAGCTGCAAGTCGCTTGGGGTATGTCTCTATCAGTTTTGCACATCGAGAGACTGGAATTCTTGCCTATTCTTCCTTGCAAAACAGCTCGAGCTCAGTGAGGTTGGATGGAGAGCGTTTGTGAACAGCAGTCTTCAGCTCTTTCCACAGATTCTCGATTGGATTCAGGTCTGGACTTTGACTTGGCCATTCTAACACCTGGATACGTCTATTTGTGAACCATTCCATTGTAGATTTGGCTTTATGTTTTGGATCATTGTCCTGTTGGAAGATAAATCTCCGTCCCAGTCTCAGGTCTTTTGCAGACTCCAACAGGTTTTCTTCCAGAATGGTCCTGTATTTGGCTCCATCCATCTTCCCATCAATATTAGCCATCTTCTCTGTCCCTGCTGAAGAAAAGCAGGCCCAAATGATGCTGCCACCACCATGTTTGACAGTGGGGATGGTGTGTTCAGGGTGATGAGCTGTGTTGCTTTTACGCCAAACATATCGTTTTGCATTGTGGCCAAAAAGTTCGATTTTAGTTTCATCTGACCAGAGCACTTTCTTCCACATGTTTGGTGTGTCTCCCAGGTGGCTTGTGGCAAACTTTAAACAAGACTTTTTATGGAGATCTTTGAGAAATGGCTTTCTTGCCACTCTTCCATAAAGGCCAGATTTGTGCAGTGCACGACTGATTGTTGTCCTATGGACAGACTCTCCCACCTCAGCTGTAGTTATCTGCAGTTCATCCAGAGTGATCATGGGCCTCTTGGCTGCATCTCTGATCAGTCTTCTCCTTGTTTGAGATGAAAGTTTGGAGGGACGGCCGGGTCTTGGTAGATTTGCAGTGGTCTGATACTCCTTCCATTTCAATATAATTGCTTGCACAGTGCTCCTTGAGATGTTTAAAGCTTGGGAAATCTTTTTGTATCTATTTTTTTGCATTCTATTTATCATCATCAGTCATTTAGGACAACATTGGATCATTCAAAGATCCTCACTGAACTTCTGGAGTGAGTTTGCTGCACTGAAAGTAAAGGGGCCAAATAATATTGCACGCCCCACTTTTCAGTTTATTTGTTAAAAAAGTTTAAATTATCCAATAAATTTTGTTCCACTTCACGATTGTGTCCCACTTGTTGATTCATGACAAAAAATGTAAATTTTATGTCTTTATGTTTGAAGCCTGAAATGTGGCGAAATGTTGAAAGGTTCAAGGGGGCCGAATACTTTCGCAAGGCACTGTATGCAAGGGTCTTGCGGTGATCCTTGCATTGCACATCAATATATTTTTTTATCATCTCGATATACGATATATTTCAAATATTTTTGATTGATTGATTGATAGATTGATAGATACTTTATTCATCCCAGAGAGGGGAAATTCAGTTGTCCTTAGTAGCAAAACAGCGGATAAAAAAGACAATACATATAAATATAATAAAAAATTAAAACCCCCACACATTTACATCAGCGATGACAGTTATAAAATCGAATTGCAGCAGGGATGAAGGATCTCCGGAAGCGCTCAGTCCTGCTGTCTACGGAGAGGAAACGATCCGATCGATTGCTCTTCTGAGCAGACAGAGTCCCATGCAGAGGGTGCCTGGAGTTACTAAGGATGGCCTGGACCTTTCTCCCCATGCACCTCTCAACCACTACCTCAACAGAGTCCAGTGACCCCCCAACCACTGACCCCGCCCTCTTAACCAGTTTGTCCAGCCTGTTACGGTTTTTGACCGATATATTGTTGCCCCAACTAATGACAGCATAGAAGAGAACAGCAGCCACAACAGAATGGTAAAACATAGACAACATTTGATTACACACATCAAAGGACTTCAGCCTCCTCAGAAAAAAGAGCCTGGTCTGACCCCTTTTGTAGAGCGCCTCTGTGTTGATGTTCCAGTCCAATTTATCATCCAGGTGAACACCTAGATATTTGTATGTGTGCACGCGTTCGATGTCCTGTCCATGAATATTTATTGGCTGTAAAGTGTTCTTTTTCTTGCCAAAGTAGATAGTCATTTCTTTGGTTTTACAGGATAAATAACCCTCCCCCCTTTTTTTTAGTTGAACCTCAAAGAGGAGTAGGTTCAAGAAGGAACAAGGGTTTTCTTTGACATTTGTTTCCTGTTTTTGAAGAAATTAAAAAGAAAAATGTCCTTTTCTTCATAAAAAAAAATTAAAATGGAACTACTCAATTCAATATGTATAAGAACAAAGTTCTTCTGCAACATTTAAGATGTTGCACAAAAAAACATTTATACTAAGTAACTTATTCCAATTCAGCCGCGCTCTCCATTGTGTACAGTCGCATACAGTACATACATTCTTAACACATGCGCCCAGAGGTTTTCAGAACTACATTTTCATGACAAAAATACTGTTTTAATGCATCAAAAAGCGATCACAATAAACCCGGAAGAAAACATTAACATGAGTAGAACATTTTAGGACACATTTGCAGAAGATCTGATCATGGATTTAGGTTAAGTTTATATTTGGGTCACTCACCGCTGAGAATTCTTTGTTCCCTTTTCATGTAGTTCCAGAGAGTTCTAGTTAGTTAGCTAGCCTAGCTGTTACCCGTCTAGCCACGTCACCGAAACCTTTGGGAACTAACTATTTAATATATATAATTTAAAAAAAGATAATGCCCATTACAGCTTTGAATATTAAGGGCTGTCTAATATCTGTTCGTATTTCGTATATATGTATTATATATGTATAAAATATATATATATATATATATATATATATATATATTACACATATATATATATATATATATTACACTATATATATATTATATATATATATAGTGTAATATATATATATATATATATATATAGTGTAATATATATATATAGTGTAATATATATATATATATATATATAGTGTAATATATATATATATATATATATATATATAATACACTATATATATATATATATATATATATATATATATATATATATATATATTACACTATATATATATATATATATATATATATATATATATATTACACTATATATATATATATATATATATATATATTACACTATATATATATATATATATATATATTAGTGTAATATATTCATTTTTGTCTTTAATATTTGAATTATATACGAGCACATGCATGATGATTGACCGCATCACTTGGTTGGTTAAAGTGGACAGCATCGTGGATTTTGAGCTATAGAAGGCGGGACCCCCTAGAGCAGGGGTGTCAAACTCATTTTGGTCCGGGGGCCGAATACTACCTAATTGGATCTCAAATGGGCTGGACCAGAAGATACATATTTATTATCCGTGTGAGTGAAGGTAACAGACTGCTCAGTAACTAGGCTGGCCTAAAAAATAAATTAAAAAAAAACTCCCCCTCAGCCATCCCCTTGGACCATCCTGTAAAGCCATTTTCAAGAAGAAAAAAAACTATGTAGAATTAGAATTTGATAGATCATTCTGTTTCCGGGTACACCAACACTGGCATGGACCTTTTTTGAGCCGGGACCTCCACTGATTCAGCCCCATCCTCCACTGAATATAAAAGAACCATAATTTCTCTTTCAGATCCAGGAGTGATGTCCAGACTTGCACCAAATGGAAAGCGCCGATTATTTGGGAGGGAATGTTTGATGCAAGACTTTTTGACGAGGCTCACAAAAGGAAAGGCTCATCTGTGGCTCTGACAGTGTTTGCAGTGGGAAAGTGAGTGATTGTCTACTCTGTTTAATTTCATCCAATGGCGATGGATTAGGGTTTTTTTCATGAAAACCTATTCCACACGCCTCTCATTCATAACACCACACCCCTCACCCATCCCGTGTAATGTTACACCCGCGCACATTTGTGCATCAATTATATTTTGGATCTACACATGCCCCACCCCCCTGACCCAGAAATGTATTAATAAAGGGGAAAATTTACCCTCCACAGTGATTGAATTTTGAGGATATTTCCTAACCTGAGCAGCCCTAGGTTATTTAGACCCTTTTAGAACGTCAATTTATGCTCTTTTTCCTCTTTTATTCATCTGTGATGGGTAATTTTGACCAGAAGGTAGCACAAGAGTTAAGAATAAGTTCTCCCTCTTTATATGGTTTGTATGCCTTTCACTAAACAAAAAGGAAATAATTATGGCTGATCAATTTGATTGTTTGGACTTATATATTTATACTTGTATATTTTTCTCTCAACTTGTTTTTACTTTTTCATATTTTTAAGATACCTTGACGCTTACCTGGAGATCTTCCTTAACTCCTCTGAGAAGCACTTCATGTTGGGGCTTCGCGTTACCTACTACGTTTTCACGGACACACCCGAAAAGGTCCCCTCCATTCTGCTCGGCCCAAATCGCAGTCTGAAAGTCATCAGAGTTGACCGCCATTCTCGCTGGCAGGACATTTCCATGATGCGTATGCAAACTATATCCGACCTCATTGAGGGAGAAATTCGTCACAATTTCACCCATGTTTTCTGCTTTGACGTGGATCAAAAGTTCAGTGAGAGATTTGGGTCTGAGGCACTGGGCGATTCTGTGGCCCTCCTCCACGCGTACTTCTACCGACTGCCCAAGAAGATGTACACGTACGATCGCAATCCCCTATCAAAGGCCTACATGGAGCAGGGAGATTTCTACTACCACGCTGCAGTCTTTGGAGGTACGTGGAGAAATGTGAAGGCCATTACAGACGCCTGCTACAAAAGTATTGTGGAGGATAAGGAGAACGGTGTAGAGGCAATCTGGCACGACGAAAGCCATCTGAATAAATATTTCTGGCTGAACAAACCTAGCCGGGTGCTCTCTCCTGAATACTGCTGGGATGACAATATCCGATACAGAACTGACGTATTAGTGAAGAGGCTACTGTGGGCACCCAAAGACTACGAACACCTTCGAATTAATAAATAAACAGGAATTCGGGAAAGATTTTTGCACTGTATGGACGATTACTGCTATTTACCATGTGCATTGTTATTGTTTACTATCACAAAAAGGGATGCAAATACACAAAGTATACTATGTAACTTGTGCACCAAATGCCTGTCTCCGTGGAGATTTCAGTCTGGTTCTAGAGTAATCCACAATATGACCATGTCCATCTCTTTGGAGACAGGTGACGCCACCAGGCCAAGTTACCAGAGATAGTTAGATCCGTGGTGAGAAGAGTACGATGACTGCAAAGGTACAATGAATCTATTTCAGGGATATATGTTATTATTTGAATATATGTTGTAAAGTGTATCCTTTCCATGGAGCATAAAAATGACAGAGAAAGGGATTTTGTTATATAATGTTGATGCATGTGTGAAATGTATGACTGCTGTGTTTTCTGGGTTCTGCCAAGTACTTCACAACACAAAGGTAACTACTACTCTACAGCTTCAGTCTTTTGGCACTAGTGAAATCAGTTTATTACTTAGAACAAAACTTTTTGTTACAATGCATTCCCTTATGCAATTATTTCAAACGTTAAAGGTATTTCATGTAAATTAAAAAGATATATGGGTGAGCAATTGGTTTTTAACCCATAATGTGTTTGCTATGTTAAGGTGTTCTCTCTGAGGGTCTTTCTTTACCATATTTATGGCTGTATTTGACAGAATAGTAGATATTATACTTTTTCATTTTAAACGGCTTGACAAAACATGCATACTCATTTTTTTCATTTATACAATATATTAGTAATATATTTATCTACGTCAGGTTTGATACAGCTTTAGTGTTAAACGTCTGTCAATGCTTTTAGTGGACATATTTGGATATCAAAAGAGAGGAGTGAAATAAAATGTAATTATTCATTTACAATTTATTTTTATTGTTCATCGAATCCTTTGTGGCCAAACTGCCACAGTGACTGTTGTTTATTCCACTTGTGTGTTTGCATTTGCACTGATAGATTTTAAAGAATCCATTTGCATTATTTTGCCAATAATGTAATGAAACTTTAAAGAATTGTTTTATCTCATTTCTCAGGAAATAAAATGTGCTGAGCTGCACAATTTAGTTTTAAAAAGCTTTTTTAATTTGAATTTTGTCTGAAATGTTCATATGTTCAAAGTCGAGATTGTTTTGTGTGTTTAGTCTTTAATAGTCTATTGTGTTGTGATACATATCAATACAAAAAAAATATTTGAAAAGGCCACAAATAAAATGGACTATTGCAAAAGAATATTTCCAACAGTTATTTGTGATGTAAAATGCAAAACCTCAATGAAGTGCAAGTCGTGTGAACAGGAAAACCACATAAAGCGAGCCGTAAAAGTCACACAGTGCAGATGGTGAAACAGTGCTGAACATTCACCAGTGGCTTCAACAACTCCAGCAGATTGTGCAAGAAACAAGCGTGGCAAGAATATGCCAAAAACGTATGGTTTGGTTAAGAACAGGTGACTATACTAATTAAAACTGGCTTCAAGCACTTAACGGATAGGCCTCAAACAGAAAAATGGCCGCTCCAGCAGAATTTTGCAAAAGCTATTGTATAGCCAATGGCCGCGAAAGTCTAATTAAAACCATTACTTGTTGGAATGAACGCATACTGGTAAAGACTCCGTAAACAGGGTGGCATTAAGGTGCGCGGAGCTTTTCGCGCTGTTCCCAGGCCAGCCCTTGGCTTCTCAGATCACTCCATGATACATCTGGTTCCTGCTTACAGACAGAGACTAAAGCTCTCGAAACCTGCAGTGAGGAGCTCCAAAGTGTGGTCTGATGAAGCTGTGGAAGAGCTGCGCGCATGCATGGAATCTACAGACTGGGACCTTTTCAGAGCTGCCACAGATAGTTTGGATGACTATACGGACACTGTGACGTCATACATTCACTTCTGCGAGGATAGCATCATTCCAACAAGGACCAGGGTCATCTATAACAATGACAAACCCTGGTTCACTGCTAAACTCCGGCAGCTCAGGAAAGCAAAGGAGTCTGCTTTCAGGGAGGGGGACCGCAGCGGCTACAAAGCAGCTAAATATCAGATCAGGAGAGAACTGAAAGCAGCCAAGTCCCGGCACAGAGAACGACTACAGGAGCAGTTTGGTAACAACGATACTGCTTCTGTCTGGAGGGGCCTACGGGAGATCACTAACTACAAACCCAAAGCCCCCCCCCCGGTGCTGACGACCACAAGCTAGCTGACGAACTGAACTTATTTTTCAGTCGCTTTGATGCTGCCCCTGACACCTCTCCCTCCCCCACCCCCCACTACTCTAACGACCCACCCATCAGCCCTGCCCCCAGCCTAACAATAGCCGCTAAAGAGATTAAACAACTCTTCTTGAGGCTGCACCCCCGCAAAGCTCCTGGCCCGGACCACGTGTCTCCAGCCACTCTGAGACACTGCGCCAGTGAGCTTACTCCTGTGTTCACTGACATTTTCAACACCTCTCTGCAGTCCTGCCATGTCCCGGCCTGCTTCAAATCCTCCATCATTGTCCCCGTCCCGAAGAAGCCCAGGATCACAGGACTCAACGACTACAGACCTGTAGCACTTACGTCTGTCGTCATGAAGTCTTTTGAACGCCTGGTTCTCTCCCATCTCAAGTCCTTCACTTCCCCCCTCCTGGACCCCCTGCAGTTCGCCTACAGAGCCAACAGATCTGTAGACGACGCCATTAACCTGGCCCTCCACCACATCCTACAGCACCTGGACTCCCCGGGGACCTACGCCAGGGTCCTGTTCGTGGACTTCAGCTCTGCCTTCAACACAATCCTGCCATCCCTGCTCCAGGACAAGCTCTCCCAGCTCAACGTGCCCGATTCCACCTGCAGGTGGATCACTGACTTCCTGACAGACAGGAAGCAGCGAGTGCGTCTGGGGAAGAATGTCTCGGACTCTCGGATTATAAATACAGGAGCCCCACAGGGCTGTGTTCTCTCTCCCCTGCTCTTTTCCCTGTACACCAACCACTGCACCTCCAGCCACGACTCTGTGAAGCTGATCAAGTTCGCGGACGACACCACCCTCATTGGACTCATCTCCAACAACGATGAGTCCGCCTACAGGAGGGAGGTGGACCGGCTGGTGTCCTGGTGCAGTGGTAACAACCTGGAGCTGAACGCCCAGAAGACAGTGGAGATGATTGTGGACTTCAGGAAGAGCACTGTCCCCCCGCCCCCACCCTCCGTGATGGACTCCCCCATCACCTCTGTGGAGTCCTTCCGTTTCCTGGGCACCACCATCACCCAGGACCTCAAGTGGGAGCCGACCATCAGCTCCCTCATCAAGAAGGCCCAGCAGAGGATGTACTTCCTGCGGCAGCTCAGGAAAGCCAAGCTGCCTGCACAGATGTTGGTGCAGTTCTACACGGCCATCATCGAGTCCATCCTCACCTCCTCCATCACCGTGTGGTTCGCTGGAGCCACAGTCAGGGACAAACAGAGACTACAACGCATTGTGCGCTCTGCAGAGGAAGTGATCGGCCGCAGCCTTCCATCGCTGCAGGACCTGTACGTCGCCCGAGCTCGAGGCCCGGCTGGTCGTATCACAGCCGACCCCTCTCACCCTGCACATGGACTATTCCAACCACTCCCCTCAGGCAGGAGGACTAGAACCTCCCGCCACAAGAACAGTTTCTTCCCCTCTGCTGTTGGACTCTTGAACACTTCTTAACCTGTCCTCCCGCCCTTTATAAAGTCACTTTACTGCCCATCATGCGTCACTTTACTTCACTGTACTGCTGTCACCTTACATTGTGTGCACCATGTGCACTTGTATATTGTAAATAGTAACTGTAACTCTATTTTAAATTTAAATGTATGCTTTAGAAGTGTTTTTATTCTTATTTTTATTATCTCTTTCTGACTGTTGCACTGAGCCAAAGCAATTTCCAAGTCTGTGACCTCCTGTTACTTACGTGGCAATAAAAATGATTCTGATTCTGATTAACATATGGCCTTCTTACAGACCAAAGTCCAACATAAACAAGGTAGTAAAGCTGTGTAATATACAAAGGATGCCTCTGTAAGCCGTTTTGAAACTCCAAAGAACAGTGTCTATATATTTATTAACAAGCAATAATATTTAGACAGTTCATACTATTTACATCATTTGAGAAGAGTCTGTGGTGCTGAGCAGAGAGTGGTTGTGAGAGTTCAGGTTGAGGTATCCCATCATCTCCCCAGATCGAGCCAAACTGGAGCACTGCGACCACGACTCGACCCCCTCCAGAGAACTGAGGCTTCGACAGGCCCCGTCCGCAAACAGAAAACTAAAGCAAAAGCAGAACATTGAGCAAAGGCATTGGTTGGGATGATGACAGCTTGAATATTGATTTAAAAAACCCATAGAAGTACATTTGAGGAAATAAGATGATCTTTGGGGGCATGAAAAAGAAAAAAAGTCTCCTACTTCAGGATCTCTGCCTGTTCATTTCTCTATAGAGTTGTATTTACACGTTTCTTTGATATTACAATCTATATCTATTTTAAAATGTTATAGAACCGGGCTCTAAACTCTGCCATTGGGTAACTTTCATTTATCAACACTTGGACATCGGTCATCTGCCCTTTTATGGACCAATACCAATGTGCTTTATGTTTTAAGTCTGGGGTTTAAACTGTTTGATTTTCTGATCTGTGTTGGTGAAACGGTTGTGTAAAAAAAAAAATCCTCAAATGGCCGCTGTTGGGATTTTGGGCTATACTGAAAAGTTGAATTGATTTGTAGGCCTGTCACAATAACAAATTTTGCAGGACAATAAATTATCTCAGAGATTATTGCGATAAGCGATTATATTGTCGTTCTGAGATAATTTTCATCTAATACAATGATAATGATGCAGGTACCTTTTCAAAGAGAAATAAACTTTTATTTTCAAAGAATATTTAACACTAGAACACATTAAATGTTTGCCATAAGTTTATTTTATTATTAAACGGTACTTCTGCACCAACAAACACACTAGCTGCACTAGTTTAGTCATTAGAGAATGAGAACTCAGGCTGGAGGTATACGTTCACAAGCACTGTGTCCCCCAGTGTCAATCCTGGTTAAGTCCTGGTTTAGCTCCTGTTTTGGCTGTATTTTGTATTTTTGAGTTTTCGGTTTGCTTGCTAGACTGCTAGTGTCCCTGTGACCACTTTGCGGCTCTCTGACCCGAGAGAGGGGGAGAGAGAGACGGGGAAAACAAACAAGCATGCAAATGGCATTTATCGCAGGCAGAAAATTTTTTGAGCTAATTTTAATTATCATGCGATTAATTGATTTATTCAATATTGCGACAGGCCTATTGATTTGAATTTACATCAAGAGGAACGGCGCAGTGGATAATTTGTGACCAGTTTTACTTTTCAGTCTTTATTCCAGTGTTTAGTCATTTAGTGTTCCAGAGTTTATGGACATTTATCATGATTTATAGACATTGGTCATTCGCCCCCTATGGACCAATGTGTTCAAACTGTTTGATTCTCTGATCTGTGTTGGCGAAATGACAACTTTGTAAACAACTGATGTGATAGAGGGCTAGAAAAAGATAATAGAAATAAATGAATGATCAAATAATAATTTGAATTGGTGAGATAGAACTTGTGAATAGTTATAATAGTTTTGGAATATGTGGCTTGTTTGTGTTTCTGTATTTGAAAAATACAGGAAAGTAAAGTAACACCCGACTATTAAAAAATATTCACAAGAAACCCAAATTTATGAAGGTATAAACGTCATCTTAATTCATAACAAAGTGGACCCTGCGGTTGCTGTGGTAACTTATATTTTTTTAAATAACCATTCATGAGTACCTTAAATTAACATTTTGACGCTAAAATAGTTTTAAAAGTGTTTGGGTGAGGTCACACTTGGTCCAATTCAAGTGGACTTTGGTTAACTAATTATGTTTTACTTGTGGAGAAGTGAACCACCACCAACCAAGATTGTTCCCTTATTTGTAAAAAGATTGGTGACATGAGAACAGTTGGATTTTCTTCTGAAGTGAACAGAGTTGACCTGTTACATGCACATTGTCTGGGATTATAATGTCTGTTTTGATATTGTATTTTCTAACACTGTCAGATCAATTTCCTTCTTAAAACCCCCATAATGAAAAAAACTAGAATAATTTGTCTATATAAAAACATGTATAAATGCTTCACTGAAATAAACTAATCTGTGAAAGTGTCAAGTGGAGTCGGTTGGATAAAATTTGACTTGGCAGGATTATATGCAAATCCTGCACATTGTACATACATACGAACCTGCACGTCTGCGGAGGGAGTTGAGTTAGCGTCTTCTGAAGGTCACATGTATTCCTCAGCTCCTTACAAAACAAAACAATTTGATTAATAAAACTACTATTTATATTAACTATATGAGTAAATTGACAGTGGACAATGTGCTGTTGGCCCATAAATCACCAACCAAAATGTTTGTAATTGGATAAATAAACAACATTTGTAATCATACTGTTTTGGACAATTATGATGATAAATTATGGGCTGGTTCAAATCAGGACAACAAAAACTTAATTAAATGCAATGAATTAAATCATTCAGACCAGGAAGCCGATCTTACAGGACTGCACCGGGACACATCATAAGCAAAGTCAATATTGACTTGTTGTAAAACATGAATTCATCATTTTTAAAGGGCGTGGACCTGAATTTGTTCTGGAGTTTTAGTTTCAACCTGGATAAAAAAATGTTTTATATGCCTTAAAACAATCAATCTTACATATTCACACAAACTGAAAATTATATATAATAAAAAATAAATTTAAACGACACCTCAGCCGCTCTCAGAGACTGGACGTTTCTTAGAGATCGCTCCATTGACGAGGTCTGTGTGGACAAGTCTACAATTCTGTTTTTTAGTTCTCTGTTCTCCAACTCCAGAGAATCAACCCTAAATTAAGAAAAAATACATAAATATATAAATAAATCAAAGAAATAACTCATTTAGTTTACAACACTGAGAATGACCTGGACTGAAGCGCGGTGATGATGTTTTTGTGGCTGTTGATCACTTCTTCATTCAGCTGCTGCAGAAGTCGCCTTCTCTCCATCAGGAGTTTGTCATTTTCCTGCATTACGTTCATATTGAGTTCCTTCTCCTATAGTGACAAAATATGACATAGGTGTAAGCGTCCCAAAAGAAGCACCGTGTTTCATTATTTTACTTCTGTGTGATGCTCCCCCCTGGACTGCCACCATAACGTGGTGGGGGAGTTTGAGTACTCGGGTGATCCTGGGAGCTATGTTGTCTGGGGCTTCATGCCCTTGGTAGGGTCTCCCATGGCAGACAGGTCTCAGGTCACGAGTCAGACGAAGCCAACAATGGACAGCACGACAATGAAAACCGTGACGTCGCCCGGCATGGCGCAGCCGGGGCCCCACCCTGGAGCCAGGCCTGGGGTCGGGGCTCGCAAGCAAGCGCCTGGTGGCCGGGCCTTAGCCCACGGGGCCCGGCCGGGCTCAGCCCGAAGGGACGACGTGGGCAGTCCCTCCTGTGGGCCCACCACCTGCAGAGGGGTCCGTGGTGGCGCGGTGCTAAGAGGACTGGGCGGCAGTCGAAGGCGGAGACCTCGGCGACCCAGTCCGCACACACAACATCTGGCTCTTGGGACGTGGAACGTCACCTCACTGGGGGGGAAGGAGCCCGAGCTCGTGGGGGAGGTTGAGCGATACCGACTAGAGATAGTCGGCCTCACCTCCACACACAGCTTGGGCTCTGGAACCCAACTCCTTGAGAGGGGTTGGACACTCCACTTTTCTAGTGTTTCCCGCGGGGGAGGCGGCGAGCTGGGGTGGCCATTCTCATTGCCCCCCATCTCAGCCGCCACATGTTGGAGTTCTCCCCGGTGAATGAGAGGGTCGCGTCCCTCCGCCTCCGGGTGGGGGACAAGTCTCTCATTGTTGTGACGGCCTACGGGCCTAACAGCAGTGCAGAGTACCCGGCCTTCTTGGAGTCCTTGGGAGGGGTACTGGACGGTGCACCGCCCGGGGACTCCGTTATTCTCCTGGGGGACTTCAACGTCCATGTGGGAATTGCCAGTGACACTTGAAGAGGGGTGATTGGGAAGAACGGCCCCCCTGATCTGAACCCAAGCGGTGTTCAGTTGTTGGACTTCTGTGCCAGTCACAGTTTGTCCATCACGAACACCATATTCGAGCACAAGGGTGTCCACCAGTGCACGTGGCACCAGGACACCCTAGGCCGACTTTGTTGTCGTATCATCTGACCTTCGACCGCGTGTCTCGGACACTCGGGTAAAGAGAGGGGCGGAGCTGTCAACCGATCATCACCTGGTCGTGAGTTGGATCCGCTGGCAGGGGAAGAAGCCGGTCAGACCTGGCAGACCCAAGCGTATAGTGAGGGTCTGCTGGGAACGTCTCGCCGAGCCCCCTGTCAGACGGACTTTCAACTCACACCTCCGGGAGAGCTTCTCCCAGGTCCCGGCGGAGGAGGGGGACATGGAGTCCGAGTGGACCTTGTTCTCTGCCTCAATCACCGATGCGGCGGCTCGTAGCTGTGGTCGCAAGGTCTCTGGTGCTGGTCCCGGCGGCAACCCCCGAACCCAGTGGTGGACACCGGCAGTAAGGGATGCTGTCAGGCTGAAGAAGGAGTCCTATCGAGCCATGATGGTTCGGGGGACTCCTGAGGCAGCTGTCCAGTACCGGCAGGCCAAGCGTGCCGCGGCCCGGGCAGTTGCAGAGGCAAAAACCCGGGACTGGGAGGAGTTCGGAGAGTCCATGGAGCATGACTATCGGTCGGCCTCGAAGAGATTCTGGCAAACCATCCGGCGCCTCAGGAGGGGGAAGCAGTTCTTTGCCAACACCATGTACGGTGTAGAGCTGGGTGGAGAGCTGCTGACCTCGACTGGGGATATTGTCGGGCGGTGGAAGGAATACTTCGAGGTTCTCCTCAATCCCCCCGTCACGTCCTCCGTTACAGAGGCAGAGGCTGAGGCTGTTGGGGCGGATACTTCCATCTCCCTGGCTGAGGTCACCAAGGTGGTTGGCAGCCTCCATGGTGGCAAGGCTCCGGGTGTGGATGAGATCCGTCCTGACTATCTAAAGTCTCTGGATGTTGTGGGACTGTCTTGGCTGACACGTCTCTGCAACATCGCGTGGCGATCGGGGGGGGTGCCAATGGAGTGGCAGACCGGGGTGGTGGTCCCTCTCTACAAGAAGGGGGACCAGAGGGTGTGTTCCAATTATCGTGGGATCACACTCCTCAGCCTCCCCGGTAAGGTCTACTCCAAGGTACTGGAGAGGAGGCTACGGCCGATGGTCGAATCTCGGATTCAGGAGGAGCAGTGTGGTTTTCGTCCCGGAACACTGGACCAGCTCTATACTCTCGATCGGATACTCGAGGGTTCATGGGAGTTTGCCCAACCTGTCCACATGTGCTTTGTGGATTTGGAGAAGGCGTTCGACTGTGTTCCCCAGGGTGTCCTTTGGGGGGTTCTCCGGGAGTACGGGGTCGGGAGTCTTCTGCTGAGGGCCGTCCGATCCCTGTATGACCGGAGCCAGAGTTGTGTTCGCATTGCCGGCAGTAAGTCAGACCTGTTTCCGGTGCATGTTGGCCTCCGCCAGGGCTGCCCTTTGTCACCGGTTCTGTTCACTGTATTCATGGACAGAATTTCTAGGCGCAGCCAGGGGTCGGAGGGGGTCCGGTTCGGAGACCACAGGATTTCATCTCTGCTGTTTGCAGACGATGTTGTCCTGTTGGCTCCAACGAACCAGGACTTGCAGCATGCACTGGGGCGGTTTGCAGCCGAGTGTGAAGCGGCTGGGATGAGAATCAGCACCTCCAAATCCGAGGCTATGGTGCTCGACCGGAAAAAGGTGCCTTGCCCTCTACAGGTGGGTGGAGAGGTCCTTCCTCAAGTGGAGGAGTTCAAGTATCTCGGGGTCTTGTTCACGAGTGAGGGAAGAATGGAGCGTGAGATTGACCGGCGGATCGGTGCAGCGTGCGCAGTGATGCGGTCGCTGTATCGGACCGTTGTGGTAAAGAGGGAGCTGAGCCGAAAGGCAAAGCTCTCAATTTACCAGTCAATCTTCATTCCCTCCCTCACCTATGGTCATGAGCTTTGGGTAATGACCGAAAGAACGAGATCGCGGATACAAGCGGTCGAAATGAGCTTCCTCCGCAGAGTGGCTGGGCGCTCCCTTAGAGATAAGATGAGGAGCTCAGTCACACGGGAGGAGCTCGGAGTAGAGCCGCTGCTTCTCCACGTCGAGAGGAACCAGTTGAGGTGGCTCGGGCATCTGTTCCGGATGCCTCCTGGACGCCTCCCTGGCGAGGTGTTCCGGCACGTCCCACTAGGAGGAGGCCCCGGGGAAGACCTAGGATACGCTGGAGGGACTATGTCTCCGAGCTGGCCTTGGAACGCCTTGGGGTCCGCCCGGACGAGCTGGAGGAAGTGTGTGTGGATAGGGAAGTCTGGGCGTCTCTGCTTAGACTGCTGCCCCCGCGACCCGGCAACGGATAAAGCGGAAGAAAATAGATGGATGGATGGATGGTGATGCTGGAATACTACTAAGTAAACGTGCCAACACATGTCTGCTCCTGAGCCAACAGGAATGTGATGAAAGAATGAGTAAGAATCTGTATATATGTGATTTTTTGGGGTTCTCATTCATAGAAAAAAGGCAAACTGAATCATTGAATTGTACATTAATATTTTAATTGAGTGGTATTAAAAGACGCCATAATAAATCCATTATAATTGTCCCAAAAAAGAAACATTTTGTGAACCAATCAGACTGCACTGCTGTTTTCATCATACTTGAAAACATTCCTTTTTTTTGCATGCTTGTACAAACGAGCCCTGTGAGACACTATTTTCAGTGAGTGACGTTATTGTCTGAAAAAGTCTATAACAAAGCCACTTCAGGGAGGAGCAGGGGAGGAGGAGGGAGGGAGGGGTCTTGAGAATTGTTTTGCAGTGCCTTAACTTCTCTTTCAATGATTTGATTGTATTTCATTGTCTGTTTTAACTGTTTTGTATCTTTTAACTCTATCCTATGTTTGTATGATTGCGAGCAGGGGACCAATGCACAATTTCCTTTTTGGATCTGTAAAGTATCTAAAGAGTTGACAAAAACCAAAAAACACATGCATGTGAAAACTAATGAAAGAACCAAACTGTTTTGAGAGTAAGGTATTAGTTTTATTCTATGACATATTTTATTTTTTATGGTTTTAAAAGAGTGAGGTTGTAGTTCTAAAGGAACATCCACGACAAATCTGTTTGTCCTGATATTTGCTGCTAATCACGTTTGAACCCACTCAAATCCTAGAATAAACAAACTCAAAGTTTATAGTTTATGTAATATAAATATATATTATATATTTATGTAATATATAAACAGACAACTGAAAGGAGTTGGGGTTGCTTTTTTAAAGGGCTGTGACTATTGTTTTTTTCCTGATAGCGCAGCAGTGTGGTACCATGGTCAGAGCATGGGAGCAGAGGGACAGCTCTCGCTCCAGTTCCTCTGTCTTCTCGTCTCTCCACTTCATCTCGTCTTTCAGTCTCACTTTAACCTCAGACAGTTTGAGTTTGAGTTTCTGTTGCATCTTGTGGTTTGTCCTATAACAGATGAGACACGTTTGTGAAGTTGTCAAAACACTCATCATGATCTACGCTTTTTTTTTACCTTCGTTCTTGGTCGAAACACTTCAGACTTTCACAAATCTGCTTCTTTAGGGATGTACACACATTCACAAAATCTCCATCGTCCTGATACGGAATGACAAACTCTTACTCTCCATAAGGTCTTAATGAATTCTTATTTCTTTCCAAAGTATGGCTATTTAAATGAAGCAATATATGTATAATCATTTTGGAGAAAAAAAAGGCTTTGACAATGAGTTTAAGGGCCTTAAAGGTCTAGTCTCCTCAGAGAGAGAGCAGGGGCCTCAACCCTAACTTTTATCTACAGTATGTAAAGTGTGAGGTATAACACAAGGAGCAGATAAGACTTGTTCATCTCTGCTCCGTTCCTTTCAGACTGTGGGTTGTTGCCGATTTTTTGTTTTGTTGTTGTGATTGTATGTCACTTTGAATGAAATTAATCAATAAAATAAAAATTAATGTAAAATAATGTGCTAGTACTATATGAATACAAAAATTACAAAGTATACCTATACTGTGGGAAGGAAATGCCTTACTTTTTGTAGTACATGGTTAAAATAGTTTTCAGACGACTGCAACAGCTGATAACAGGTTTTTGAGACATCCAGCGGCCTGTGAACAATGTACACCAAAACAAAAACCAGATGTTGATAACAAACTCAAATGGACAATATGATCATGGGGTTACGAGTGTTTTTTGATTATATGTGTTCATAACCTCTGACGATCTGTAAGTGTGTGTGGATACGAAAGAGGAAGTACAATTTTTGTATTATTGCTTCACTTACAATTGTTCACGATGCTCGTTTTCCTTTCGTTCCAACTGCATCTTCAGATCCTCAATCTAAACACATTATCTTGTAGTAAAATATCACAATTGTACTTTGATTGACTCACACTGTATTTAACATGTTCTTTTTAACTAAAGTGGATTTGTGGTTTTCAAACAGAGTGAGGCCCTCATTTGGGTTTCCAGTTGAATGAAATGTCGCTGGTTTTAGCTCTATCTTAAGATCTAACCAAATTCACAAACAAATACAGCACCACACCTGTTGTGAAACTGAAAGCAAATACTAAAAAAAGCTGCCTTCGGTTATACACAGAGTTTGTACCATTTGGAGCTAAATTCCAGGAGTTGGATTGTATCTAGTGCTTATCAGCAACTTTACCGGACACACTTACTGTTCCTTCGACAAAAGCAGAATCAGATTTCGAAACAACCACTTAAAGTTTCTGCTCCGACAAAACACACAAAAGTGCTGTCCACAAAAGCGTCAGTGTTCGTGTTGCAGGAAGAAGTTTATTACCTCTGACTCTTGTTCCAATAGACGTTTTATCTGAGCGTCAATCTGCACTTGTAAATTTTGACATCGTTCATTGACTTGTTTTGCTTCAACTCCTAGAATCTGATGAAAACACAGAAAATAAGAGAAATCTGTAGTCTGTTTTATTAGATTATGACAGCAAGTGTGAAAGTTTTATATATTTACACCAAACATCAATATTACACCCTAAAAATTAACTTATAACAGAGAATTTTTATTACAAACACATGGCCTACTTGCCAGTTGTGGTATAAGCTAATAAGCTAATATGGGGAGGCTGCGTTTCAGATTCATGCTGCTAGAGTCTGAAACCGTCTTCCCGAGAATGTGAGACAGGCGTCTACTCTGGCAGTTTTTAAAACTGGACTGAAAACAGTTCTTTTTAGCTGTGCATACAAGTGAATGATTTTACATTTGTTTTTATCTTTAATCTTTTTAATGCACTATGACTATTTATGATTTTATTCCCATGTGTGATTTTAATGTTTTACGGTTTTTAACTACTTGTGTGATTTTATTTATGTTTTTAATATATCTTGTGCTCTTAATCTGTCTTTTTATGTTTACTTAAATTCTAATGTTTGATGATTTATGCATGATGTTATATGGGTTGTGAGGCACTTTGCGTTGCCTTGTGTAGGAAAGGCACTCTATAACCGTTGATTGATTGATTGATAAATTACTCAATGGCATTTATAGTATCCCCATTCTTATATATTTTTTTCTATGTTACAAACTTTGTGGCTAATGGAAAAACTGCCATTTAGTCTCAATCAAACAGTATTTCCATGTTTTTAGGTACAAGAAAATGAATGCTTCAACTTGTTTCGTTTTTGTTTTTTTTTAAGTTAAGTGCTTTTAAGAGTAACTATATAATTTGTCATGTGTATTTGTTTTGAAAAGGTATAATGTAGCTGAATTGATAACGATAAAAAGCTATACAATAACTAGCTACTATAACTATATATTGCATGTATAGTGAATGGACAAACTTTTTCCAATTCCCTGGCCTTCTCCGCTTTGATTCGCTGCTGCTGCACGACAGACCGCAACTGTTCCACCTGTGGCCGAAGGACATTGACCTTGAAAAGAAAAACCACAAAAAACATTGCATTCCTATCTCATGCCACTTCTCGCTGCCATTTCCACTGCCATAGTTCAATTTCTCAGAACAGCCTCAAAACGAAGGTGAACTTACCTCTTGGGTCTCCGCGGTTGGTTCGGTCTGAATCTGCACACTGAGAAACGTTGTCTGTTTAGAAAAGAAATGTGAAATCAAATATAAGAACATTTCATTTCCAACTTGTTTGATTGTGGACTGTAAATTGACACAAAGACACCCTACAGACTGTGGGCCAATGTTGCAAACGTTTATAAAGTAGCACCACCTGCATGTGAAAGCCAAGTCCTATCAGACCTCTGAAACTAAGCAGGGCAGGGCCTAGTTTGTATTGTGATGGGGGATCACAATGTACATGAGGGGCCACAGTGAAGGGCTGCGGCTGTGAAATGCCAAACTGCTATTGTGTCCTCAGGCCAGTGTTGTGCGTGAACGAGTTCAAAAGAACGCTAATTTTTTCGTGAACGTTGAACTGAACGCAACTATTTTTTTTAAAAAGAACTTGAACGTGAATTAGTTCATTTTATGTGTCATGAACGGCAGACATCACTATGAACGTTGGAATCTGTTTTCTCTTTTGAAACGCAACGAGAGAAAGTTCCTCAGTAGATACATAAGGCACCGCTATTGAGCAAGTGGCGAAAAGGTGGTACTGCACCCTAAACTCCTCAGAATAGGGGCACCGCTATTGAGCAAGTGGTGAAAAGGTGGTACTGCACCCTGAACTCCTCAGAATAGGGTCGGCGCTATTGAGCAAGTGGTGAAAGGTGTTACTGCACTGTATTTTCCAAAGAGGTGTCACTTTTGAATGTGTAATGAGTTGTCCTCTGTTGACCCTGATGCGATAAAGTAAGTATGGTTCGCTCTTGTCTAAAGTGGTTTATTGAGCAGTGTTTTAGCGTAACACATGTGTAGGGTCACACCGTGCTTATTCTAAAACAAACAGTGATGGTGAAGACACGTCAATAACTAATTAATCTACAGGGAGAACCAGCCACAGACCTGCCAACCTATAGTAAACATAACGAAGGGTTGGGAGGATGAAGGGGTGGGAGGATGAAGGGGTGGGAGGATGGACCAGCCATGGCCAATCCGTGCAATGTTAAAGGGAGGGTGTACTAACAGCGAATCATGATGAAGGGTTTGGAGGGAGGATGGACCTACTACTACGTCCAATCAGGGTGATACATGTAGTACCATGTGATGAAAAGGTGGTATGGCGCCCTATTTTCCAATAGGTAACACTTGAGTGAAGCAGATCCCTTTCTCAAACTATGGGTCTCCCAGAGGTTTCGCACTTTTTTTTCATATGAGTTTTTCATTGCTGATGCAGGATGGGTTTGTTGCACAGTTAGTGAGAAACTAGAAGGACTGTGGTGATGATCCAGGACACTTTAATATTCCGTGCCCGTACAACATGTACGGGCATGTGGTCTATATTCTTTATGTGTTTTAACTGTTGATTCTCCAATCTGTGTTGGTGATTTTCAGTAGTTTTTGGTAAGTCCTCTGAGATGACTCCAGTTGTGATTTAGGGCTATACAAGAATAAATTGTATTGTATTGTATAGGTGTTTTATTTTTATTTTTCTGCAACAAGTGGTAGTAGTAGTAAGTAAGTAAGTAAGCTTTATTTATATACCGCCTTTCACAGACCAGAGTCACAAAGCGGTTTACAATTGTTATTTTTTGGGCACTTGTCCTCTCACTCCACACAGAGATGGGAGCGGGGTCGCCGAACAGGAGGCGCATGCCAGACCTATTGTACATATTTTTAGTGGTAGGGGAAACCGGAGTACCCGGAGGAAACCTACGCAGACACGGGGAGAACATGCAAACTCCACTCAGAAAGGCCCTGGTCCGGCCGGGATTCGAACCCAGGACCTTCTTGCTGAGAGGCGAAAGTGCTATCCACTCAGCCACCGTGCCGCCCGATGTACTGCACCCGATGTACTGCACCTGAACTCTGAAAGAGCGACACTTGTGTGTGTGTGTGATAGCCTTATCATGTGGCCCTGAGTGTTGCACTAAAACAATAGGGGGATAGTTGTTATTTTTTCACGGAGATGGGCGCAGGGTTCCAACTGGTACACCAGTATGAACGATCCGTCTGAAACTCACCTGATGACAAAGGTTCCATGGAGCAAAAACACATATATTTTTAGTGGCGTTTATCAATCGTAATTAATGCGTTATAATCCTAACCCTATTCATAAGGTAGTAGTCTCTATATCAATTTAATTGTCCAATACAATAAAAATAAGAACCCTATATACATATATGTACACAGTTTTGAAACAGAGTAGGTAGATGTGAAACTAGGGTCCTTGGTACAGGTTTTCTTTTTACTGGAGATCAAATGATTTAAAGGCGTACATCTCTCAGATATACAATTGACACTTGTTACCATAAATAGTCATCTTAAAGACTGATTAAACACCCATATTACATACCTTAAACATTATGTACAACATTTTACCAAAAACACAAACCATTAATTAAAATCCAGATTTTCTTATTATGTAACACTCTCATATTTATTGAGTATAGTAGTTTTGTTGTTTCTTAAAAACCATGATTTTTATTTTGACTCTTTAATGTCTTTATTAAGTTCCACAAGTTGATTCCTTTCCACTGAGACCATTCTTCCCATGAATGTAGTTCTGAATCTAGGTTTTATTAAAGATGTCAGTTACTTACAGAGTGTATCGACATTGTCTTTTTTCCAAAGTTCTCTTAGAGGTTTGCTGCTAATGTTTTGCAATTTACCTTATACAATGTATGATAAATAGTATAATCCACTATAACATACAATTTTAACACCAAGCACTCAAAAACAGGATTTAATGAATCTCGATATATTTTCCTTCTGGTCTTTTTTAACTATAGGCTGTGTTAAACGTTGTCTCCAAATGTTGACAACATAGGTGAGGTCGGTATAATCATTGTAGTATCTAAGGTCAGTAATGCTGAGCGGTGTTTTCGTAGATGTTTTCTGCTAATGTGTTGCAATTACCTTATACAATGTATGATAAATAGTATAATCCACTATAACATACAATTTTAACACCAAGCACTCAAAAACAGGATTTGATGAATCTCGATATATTTTCCTTCTGGTCTTTTTATGTAAAATAACTATAGGCAGTGTATGTGTTTTAAACGTTGTCTCCAAATGTTGACAACATAGGTGAGGTCGGTATAATCATTGTATTATCTAAGGTCAGTAATGCTGAGTGGTTTGGAAAGTGTAAAACACCAAGTGATTTGGCTAATTTTCCTTATGTACAGTGTCTGTGAGATTTACAACTCAGATCCTCAACGATGATGACTCCCAAAAACGTTGTTTCTTTTACCCTTTTGAATTCCCCCGTCTAGTCTTATCGATACACTATTTAATATTTTTTTCTTTTTAGCATTGAATATCATGTAATCGTTTTTTCTTTGTTTAGAGCAAAGTCATTTGAACCAACCAGATTTTTATTATGACAAGTTCTTTGTTTATTACTTTTTGATAACTCTCCAACATTTTTTCCACAACAAAATAATGCTGTGGCACCAGCAAATAAGATTATTTGTAATATAGGTGTCATGTTTACAAGTTTAAAGACATAATTCAATCATTTATAAGTTTAAAAATGCAACACGTTCTTAAATGCTATGTAATAAGTTACATTTAAAAACAAAGATTCCCTTTTCCATGGGAAATGAAGACAGGGTGAAATCCGAGACACTCTGATAAAAGTCCTTTAACAGAGAAGGACCAACGTGTTTGGGCCCCGCAGCGCCTTCTTCAGCCCAGTGTGATAATAAGCTATAGTTGTTTCTAGTGCTAAAATATAAGGGGAAACAAAGTAAGACATCAGTTTCCCTGTCGAGCAGAGTAAGCGCTCTTGTTTGGTTTGTCTTTGTAACAATCTGTGTTTCATGTGTTGAACCTTGGCAAACTTTCGGCTTTGTAAGTATTATTTATTTAATCTCACAACCACATTGTTAGGGGCCATAAAAGTGTTTTATTATACGGCTCCTCAGAGCAGCTGTAGAATGCTCCATTGATTTGAATGTAATTTCAAAACGTTCTACCGGTCATTATTTTCTATAACGGACCTCTCAAAACAATAATGACCGCTGCCCATGGCAACACACTCTCTGCTTGTCTTTCAAATGCGTGGATAACTCCGCAAGTAGTTCCGGCACTCCTGAGCTGTACGCTCAATCAACACACTTAAATGTTAATCGGAGAATACTTATACATATACATTCTTCACACACGTGCACAGAAATTTTCAGAATTTTCTGGTCTTGTCTTCATGACAAAAATACTATTTCTTTGCGTCAAAAAGCGATCGTGAAAAACCCGGAAGTAGTTCTGGCCGCTCAATAAACGCAAATGCCAATCAATCAACGCAATGAAATGTTTATCGGAGAGTGAATTATACATATCCAGTCTTAATACAAGTGCACGGAGGTTTTCAGAATTTGCCGTTTACGTTTTCATGACAAAAACACTGATGTAATGCGAGAAAAGGCGATCCCGAAAAACCCGGAAGTAGATACCGGCACATTTTAAGATACCGGCACATTTTCGGACACATTTGCAGAGGATCGATTTAGGTTAGGTTTATGTATGGGTCACTCACCGCTGATGTTCGGAATTCTTTGTTCAGTTTTCATGCAGTTCCAGAGAGTTCTAGTTTGGAAGTTGCCAGCCTAACTGTTGCCCGCGGTTGCCGAGCAACGGGAAAACTTTTTGGGACTACTTTATTTGTTGTCATTAAATAAACTTTTGGCATTCATAAAAGTGATCTGAAGTTTATTTTGTGTGTTAAGTTGGTACAAAGCAGTATAATAAGCGGGATAATGTATAGCATACAGGTCATTATCGGAAAATAAGTACCTTCAGGGCGGGGTCCGCTTCGCCCTGTCGGTACTTATTTTCCGATAATGACCTGTATGCTATACATTATCCCTTACTTATTCTACAGCAAAGTGTTAAGTTTGGGCTATATCTGAGTAGCAAGCGCTGTACGCAATTCCGTGTGCACAACCGTTGATAGTTTTTCTAGTGTTGCAGTTACGGTGATTTTATATTTTGTATTTAGGGATGCAATGAACCATACGCAAGAGATTCTC